GACGCTAACACAGGAGAACAATTTTCAACATGTTTCATTCCTTGTGAATTACTCACATGATGTAATTCGGCATTACTAATAGATGCAGAATCATTTGAAACGCTCTGAAAACCATCAGAACTATTATAATTCTCATCATTAGATAATCGATCATTTTGTTGATTCTTGTCAACAATTGTTGGTAGTGTTACTGGCTCAATCACAGTGTTCTGCATATCCGCAGGACTAGGCTGAGGTTGACTTTTACATGATAATGAGGTTGATGGTTCGTTAAAACCATGTCCACTATGATCACAATCACTGCCATCCGTTTTAGACGGTGTCATATGAGTATTATGTGAACTAGCTGAACATTCTTGTTCCTCATAATTAACATCTTGATCATTTACTTGATCATCAACATCATCTACACGGGTTATATTTGCATACGATGCATGAACATGGCAATCTGGGTCGTCATGTCCAAAACTTTTACACACACGACACTTTGATACTTTACAATCTTTCTTAATATGTCCACTTCCTTTACAACGATAACAAACTTGTTGTCTACCTTCCAAATGGACTGAAATACTAAGTCCAGCTATTTTAATAGAAATAGGAACATTCTGTTCCGCTTCTTTATTCGTAAAACGCACACGCCGAACGAAGGTTTTAATTCGTCTATATGGGTGTGGAAGTGTTTCACATTCTATATGCATCACAATTCCCCATTTCGATACAAAAGATCTTACAACGTCATCACTAACGGTTGATGGTATTCCGAGTAATCGGATAGTTTTTGTTTCTTGGAATGGTGTGCGTATATCGAATTGTTGGTCATTTACTTCTAACACATCATTTTTCAAGAAACTTTCTCTTGACTTTTCATCATTGAATATAACGAACCACTCTCTGAGTGAACCAAGATTCCCAATAGAATCTAGATACCTCCTGACAAAGAACAACCTTGTCTTACACCTGATTCAAATGGTATATCATCAGCTGAATGTCCATTAATTCGGATTTTAAACGTTGCTCCGGTATACAACATTTTTATCCAACTGATATAGTTCTTTCCAAAGCCAAAAACTTTAAGGACTTCGAAGAGATATTTATGATTAACTCGATCAAATGCCTTTTCCTGGTCCCAGTTAATCAATGCGACAGGAAGACGCATTTTTG